AAGAAAGCGGCCATTTTCATTTAGCTCATGCTAGTAGCAACACAAAAGAGATTTTTCTCTTCAAACTCATAATCAGTTCAGTTAAATCTAAACTTGGCAACTTTTTCTTTTTCAACCGTAATAAATGATATTCAATTGACCTGTTATAACTCAGATGGTGGCTGTCCGCCCCTCTGCTGCTGCTGCATCGCTGTGGAAAACCTGGAGATATCTGCGGCTTATAGTCAGGAAAATACAGTATGTTTGTACACCATGTGGACAAAAGTAAGTCCTCATAACTATCAAAACACACACACACACACACACACACACGCACGCCATTGTTTCTGGAAGGAAGGCCTCTTCCTGCCTTTATCCTGAACCACAGTTTCTGTGTTTTTCCAGAGGATACGTTGAGATCAGAGAGCAGCTCCACGTCAGACTCAGCAGGAAACGACAACGGTAACTCACACACACACACACACAGACACACAGGCAGGGTTTCTGGTTTCAGGAGAACAAAACGTCCCGACAGCATCTGATGTTCTGTAAACGTCAGGATGAAATCAGATCAGCCTGAAGCAGTTGATGTCACTAGTGGCGCCCCCATGAGGGTAATTTAGGAACTGCCTGACAGGTGACAATAGATGCACTGGATGCTGGTCCTCCAAGAATCAGTTTAACCAGTTAGTCATCTACCAAACTCCGATGCCCTGTCGCGTCCTGGTCTGGTGGTCCACGTTGTGTCAGCTCCGGTCCCTCCAGGACTTTTGCGATGCGTCATGGTGACCAGCAGGATGACCTCAGGTTCTGATGTTCTGCAGTGGAAGTAGAACGGCCATGCTAGTTGCTGGTTCTACCATCAACATCACCGAGCATCTCAACATCCTCACTATGGGGACGGACCCAGACAGCTTCCAGAACCGGCAGCTGGGATCTCAGAACCACAGAGGCGTGGCCTAAATCTCAGCAGGCAGATGGTTGGTAAAGTCCTGGCAGGATTCAGTGCTGATGTGGATGTCTCTGTGTTGACAGACAACGGTGGGTCTCAGTGTCGCCCCCTGCTGGTTTCTGCTGGGTCTCCTGTGGAGGTTTTCAACCAGAACAAAACCAAGAAGTCGTCGGTGCTCAGCAGGTATGCCGGACCTCCATGATCCGCTCGGGTGTTCCTGACTGGAAAAACCAGTTTGCCCAGTTAGTTTTATGTTTGGTGCCTGCCAATCAGAAGAGTTTCTCACCACCTGACCTCTGACCTTTCAGGACTGAACACCGTGAGAACAACAAGCCCCCTCCTCTGCCCCCCTCACAGCCTCCCCCTCCCCCTCCCCGCTCCCAGGACTCCTCCTCCTCCTCCGACGCGGGGCGGGAGGCGGGCTGTCGGGCGTCGCGCCAGAGCAACGGCTCTGACAGCCTCCTGACCCACAGCACCCCCCCGGAGGACGAGGGTGGGGCCCAGCAGGGGGCGCTGCGGCCTAACGGAGCCACTGTTTCCAGGGGAACGAACGCGGCCGGGTCGTTCTGGAGCTCTGAGTCGCTGACGGAACGGCGCGGCAGAAACCACCTCGCGGCCCCGGAGGGGGGGGTCCGCGTCCGAGGGGGGGCCTACAACGAGGTTCTGCTGGACTACGTCTGGGAGAAGCAGCGGCAGCTGCAGCGCCAGCAGTCGCAGCCCAGCAGGCCGCTCCACAGCGCCGGCTCCGCCCAGCAGCCCGTGGGAGCCCCGCCCATCTACCGCGGTCACCACGGCGACCAGCGCAGAGTCACCGTCACCCGCACCAAGTCCTGTGGCCCGTTCCTGCCAGTGCAACAGAACCACAGTGACATCACCCAACAGGCTCCGCCCACCATCCAGCCAGACCCCCACCCCCACCTCCTGCCCCCCCACCCGCCGCAGCTGCCCCCCCAGCAGGACTCCCAGCTGGAGGAGGCCACCCGAAGCCTCCACAAGGCCCTGGCCCTGGAGGGTAAGGGAACAACACGGAAACCCCGACTGGCGCCACCTGGTGGATCAAACAAGGTCAGGAACCCTCTACCTGCTCTCAGGTGTGACTTCATCTGATTTGTTCTTCACAGGTCTGAGGGACTGGTACCTGAGGAACACCTTAGGATCCACCCACCAGAACCAGGCCAGTGGAAAGGTCTCGTCAGGTGCCAACTCTAAGCCGAGTAGTGGGGTCAAAGGTCAGACCGGAGGGGTTGATGCCCTGCAGCGAAGACGCACAGCCCACGGAGTCCTCCAGCAGTCGACCTATCAGAGTCATCACTACGCCGCGCCGCATCACAAGCAGACGCTGCCGCACTCCGCCACGTTCCACGGACATCCGCTGCACGGGAGGTAGGGGTCCGCCAACAACTTCATCCCCCACAATGCCTTGCTTTCCAGACCAAAATACTTTTTTATTAGTTTTCTCCACCTCAATGTGAGCTGAAGATGAAACCAGAAGCCATCTCTCCCTCTCTGTGTCAGGTCTGTGGACAGCTCGCTCTACCAGGACTCCTGTCTGTCCCAGAAACAGGAAGTTCCCCTCAGAGACTTGGCGGTGGACCAGCCGTCTCCTGGGACTCTGGTCTGATCACCAGCCAATCAGAGGAAGAGACTTGGACGGAAACCGGCCCTGTTCTATGGACCTCCTGTGATTGAGTGATGATGAACCAGTTGACCCAGTTCAGAGACCAGCCAAACACCCAGACGCCCCATGAACCTTAAAGACAGGTTCGCCTCACCAAGACCTTCATCTGACCTGAGAGGGTCTGCTAAGGAAGACCATCTACTCATCAGAGTGTTCAGTGGTCTCTGGAGGAGTCACGAACCTGAACCAGAACCAGAACCTGCCTGAACCCAGCAGAGGACCGATGGTTTACCGCTGTTTGAGAGAACAGTGTCCAACTGGAGTCACTGGTTTGGGTCAAGAAGGAACCCTGCACTGAGGAGCAAGAGTCCCTCACTTCTCAAGGTTCCTGGTCCGGAAAGGTTCCCGTTAGCCGGTTCTCGTATCGCCACAGCTGGACTGTGGAGCGCCAACCGGTCCAAGTTCTGGGTTCCTGGTCCTCAAACTCTGCTCAGACAATCAGACTCTTTCTCAGCCACCAGGGGGGAACCTGTACGCCCCAAAGACAGAGCCTCACCTGCTCTCTGACATCACCAGCTGACATCACCAGCCCTGATCAGCTCAGGTGTCAACCTGTTAAAGCCTCAGGTGAGTCCAGACCGGAAGCATCAGGTAACTTTGCAGTTTAGACTCAGAATCCCTGCACTATGAATCCAGCACCAAGTTTCATCCTCAAACCAGCAAGACTGGACCTGCAACAGGACCGGACCGGCCCGGTTCTGGCCGGCTCAGAGAACTGAGATCCAGGACAAAGAGATCAGGGAATCCGGGTCCAGGAGAAAGTTCTGGTCCTGAAATGACACAATCCAGATCTCCAACAAGTTAGGAATGTCACCAGAACCTGGAGGAAATCCTGTCCCGGATCCGGACCTCCATCTTCATCAGGACCCAGATCTGGTCCTGGGTTTTGGGCCCGGTCAACTTCAGGTCATAATCAGGATGCAGGTTTAGTCTGAAGCAATAAAAGGAGCTTCAGGTTTAAAGAGCTTCAGAACAAAAGAACCAAAAACAATCAGAACGACAATCAGACGATGATGTCACTGCGGTGATTGATTTCATCATCGATTGACTGTTTGGTCTCGTTTTCTACGGATCTGATGTCATCTGATTTTATACAAACTTTTGTTACTGAAATGATGCTTTTTAATGTAGGACATCAGTTTTATTGAGAAGAATCAGTGTTCACACACACCTGTCCTCACACACACACCTGTTCTCTTCACACACACCTGTCCTCACACACACCTGTTCTCTTCACACACACCTGTCCTCACACACACCTGTTCTCTTCACACACACCTGTCCTCACACACCTGTGCTGTTCCACACCTGGGCCTGTATTCTCAAAGACTCCTGAGACAAAGTAGCTGAGTGGCATTTAATGTAAGTTTAGTTTCATCGTTTTCTTACTCCAGTCTGGATTCATTTCTGTCACTGGAGGCGTTTTTGTTTTTTTTTTGTTTGTTTTGTGTTTCAACCAATCACAGCCAAGCCTGAACCTGTTGATTTATTTTAAAAAAGATAAAAGATACCAAGAGACATTCTAGTTTCATGACATGAGAGGATATGAGTTTATTTGTAGCCTTCGGTTCACCCTCCTCACCAGCAGGTGGCGGCAATGCTCCACTAAGTTATTGGCAACAATCATTGAATAGATGAAGAACCCTAACCCTAGAAAACAGCGTCACGCGTCATGCCTAGCAACGGGGTCAACCATACCTAGCAACGGGTGAACTTCGGAGTTTGAGGATCTTTGTGAATACGGCCGGTACTGTTCTACACCTGCTGTGTTCGCCTCACCTGTCCCTGAGGTTCTGTGTCTGATCCAGTTACTCTGCTGGGTCGCTGCAGCTCAGAGGTCTGAATTTTCTTAACGATGAAACTTTTTTTTTTGTTGTTAAATATGGATATTAAACCTCAGTCATGAATATGAACAGGAACCGTAAAACAAGCCCCGCCCACTCCTATGGCGCTGCCCTTCTATTGGTTGCAGCCTCTCAGGTGTTTGGTTCTGGTCATGTGACCGCAGCTGGACACGCCTCCTTCGCCAGAGCAGAACCTGAGGACCTGAAACTGGTTCTGCTGACAGCCCAGAACCAGCTGGTACTAGTCGGTATCCGCTGGGATTCTGCAGGAGTTCTGATCTGGTCGGGAGAGGGATGGGGGATCCGGTTCGGTTCTGACGGTGTGTGTGCTGCATGTTCTCTGTCCAATCAAAACCTGTTCAGGGACGTGTGTTCTGAAAGCTCCAGAACCGGACCTGGCCGGTACCGTCGCAGCTTCTGTGATGGACTGAATGTTTTTTGTAGTTTTTGTGTGTAAATAAAACTTGTGAATACGTTTCTGCTCTCCTTCTGTTCATGGACCCAGGAGGTTCGGTTCTGTCCGTTCTCAGCTCTCTGTGCTTCTCACTGAAAGTCCAGTTTGTCTAAAGCACTCCAGCGCCCCCTGCTGCTCTCGTTGTCGTACAGCAGCGGATCCGAACCAGATCAAAGCTTCTTATTGTTCTGGATCAGAACATCATGTGAACATTAAAGCCTCGGAGAGGTTCCGGTTCCGTCTCCTGGATCCCCGAATGGAAAAATCACCTGACGGTCTTCAGGCAGGAGAACGACAGATGTTCATTAAAGAAAGAACGTTCCCGAAACATCGGAACAGTTTTAAATTTTCAACAGATATATGTGTATGACGTGTCTTGCCTGCAGTGATGCATAAAGAACGTTCTTTAGAGTTACAATGAATTCTGTGAATTTGAACAGCTGACGAACGTTCTTCAGCTTTCGCAGTTCGTTGCGTAACACTCGGTCCTCACAGCGGCGGTAAGCCGCAGCGGTCAAACCGGGGTTCAGAACAGGCTACACGGACTAAACTTTCTCCCGACACCAGTTCGTTCCGGACCGGTTCGACCATGAGGTAAGGGTTCTGCTTCAGCAGCGGGACTCCCTGCGACCCGGACGGACGGGTTCTGTTCGGCAGAAGTGGGTCGGATCCGGAAACTTTGACTGTTTTGGACATATTTCCACATCAAAGTTCCGGTTAGCCGTTAGCTTTAGCTAGCTTCCCCAACACCGGCCGGTAAGGTTTCGGTCCGGATGCACGACGGGAAGTTCCGAGAAGTTCGGTGATCATTATGTTTCATGGATCAATAACGGAACCAGAACCAGTTCAGTAAGTTAAGCTGCCGGAGTTACGGTCCGACTCCGGGTTCTCCCGAACCCGACCCGGTTCTGTCAGGCTTTATCCCACTGTGGGGAACTGGACCAGAACTCTGGAGTTCGGTTGTTAAAATGTCACCTCAAAAACTAATGGAACCGAACCAGGCCCACAACTGTATAATCAGTACAGATCTTGTAAAACTAGAGCAGAGGTCGTGCCCCCTGTGGGGATCCCGGTGGTACTGCAGGGGGTCGTGAGATTTCTCTCTCGATTTTTCTTGTACATTTTTTATTAATGCAAAGTTATGTTTTTAAATACACATTGAACACGAATCCTACATTTAATACATTGATAAATAATGTATGTCAGAAAAGTTCTACATTTTTTGTAAAACATTGTTCATGGTGACCTTATTTGGCCAGTGCTTTAGTATTCAAACGTATGTTTAAAATAAAAACATGAAGCAATCATGAAACAAAGAAGCTGTGCGTTATTTGTATTAAGGTAATGAGGTATGTTATGTAGCTCTAAGCCTCCACTAGAGGGCATTATGTCACACTTCTGGGAATTTTGTAGATGACAGCCATCTTGGTAGGTATCTGTAACTAACTGTTATGACAGATGCTATGGAGTTGCTA